GACAAACGGACACAAACGAGTTGTGTCTAGAGTTGCCGCAAACTCTCAGAGTATAGCGTTCAGTAGAGCTTGCTGGGGACGTAAATAAAGCGTGCCGATTGGTCGGGCTATGTCGATGCCGACTGGGAAAACTGTGCCAAAGCAACTAAGAGCGATAATGGCATTACCCGGTCGCATCTTTGCAACAAGTAGTATGCTCATTTGCTTCTTTGCACCTTAAAGTATTAGACCTTTCTTTTCGTTACAAAACAACTTTGCTTTCACTCTTAGCCTTGCTCATACTATGCTTTACTCCATCTGGGAAGGTTGTGCAGTGTCTGAGTTAAAAGGATTCACTTTTATCAATGTATACAAAGCTGTGCACAACGCAGGGCTAAGGGAAGATGCGGGTCAGAAAACTATAATTATTTTGCAAAAAATGGGATCTTGGGTTTTATGGTGTCTCATTATTTCTGAATATTTAATTTGATGTATAAAAATAATTAGTGCCGGTTATGATCGCGAATTTAGTCAAATACGCATCTGAAGAGATCCAGGCAACCCAGAAAGGCATGACCTTAAGCCATATTTCTGTGCAGTTCTTCAAGTTGGAACGTCAGCTTGCCATCACATTGACATTGACAAGTAGGCCTAGGCATCTCGTCTTCATTGCAGTCTTCCGTAACTTCAATTTCTCACGGAAGTTTATCAACAAAATATTATTTTCTGCACCGCGAAAGAGAATAGCTGCACACATCTGCGGTAACACTGAAACATGTCTTTCTCTTTTTGTGTAATTTTCAGGCATCTTCACAATTTGTGCACAAGAGTTTCTGATCTTAATTAGTCCTACTGTTGAGACCGGTTATAGCGAAGTCAACGGAAATCGGAAATCGCTTCGCTATATCCACTATTTCGTTATAACTGACTTCGGTTATAACGAAGTGCAAAAGAGAATGGGGAATCGTGATCGCTTCGCTATAGCCGCTATTTCATTATAACCGATTTCGTTATAACCGGTCTCAACAGTATCACAACCAAATTTGACATGCATATACTTTAGAATATGTAGAATGAACTATATAAGTTGGTTAGAAAGAATATATTTTTTATATTTATGAAAAATTTAAGAAACATTTGTTAGCCCCTTGAAATTGCATTTTTCCTATTTTTAATTATTCCAAAATGAAAGAAGCATCACACATTATTTTTGTTGTTCATAGCACTTCGTGGTTTAAAAGGGGCAAATTAGTTTATTTTACTAAGCTTTCTTAAGAATGTTGCCATGCCTCATGTGCACACAAGAACATGTTTTTTTCTGCATGTGCAGTGCATCGAGAACTTGAAAAAAAAAACTATATCAGATTTAACACCAGATTTATAAGGAGAAGCTTAAGCACCTTAAACTATAAAAGATTCATTTCAATATCATAATTAATGTAAAAAAAATTTCCCCTGGAGCATGTCCCCCGCACACAGTACAGCTTTTCTCGACGACAACACAATGCTCGACTTACTAAGTGGAAGTGAATGATAACACTGCAGGTGTTGGTACTCTGTGAGTATTGAGTGACCCTGATCATGACCGCAAGAAACGACGCAACAGAGTGGGAAATAAAGTGCACACCACAAACAGATGGAAATAACAGAGAGAAACACACAGCAGGAGCACCATTGGCGAGCAGGCAGCGAGAAGGCAGGGCAGAGAGAAAGTAGAGCAACAAGCACAGAGAGCAAGGTTCAGAGACAGCAATTAAACGACCAACAGAGTTATCAGAGCCAGCCAGGCAATGCCCCAAAATTGGAGGTCCCTCTTTGCATTTGGAAGCCTCACCGCTTGTGCATGCCATAAACTGATATATTGAACTTGCAGGCTCGAGGTGCGCGGCTCGGTTTGAGTAAAACGAATATACCAGCCGAGGACTGGCTGTGCGCTGCAATCCTTCTAGGACTGCAACGCCACCGCTGGAATGTCCCGTTTGTACTTTTGCGGAGAAAGGCTTTTACTCCGAAATGTCTCGACCCAAGGTGTGGCAGACCCCCAATAATTCGAGTAAGATGCAGTGGAATGCAAGATAGCTCAAAGCCTGGCCTCTGTAGGCTCAACGCAGCGAGATACTATTTTGATAGGGCAAATACATATAAGGCGTCTTATCGATTAAAAATCGATGCACGCGTCTATACACAGTTTCGGATCTGTTTGAGAACCAAGGTGTCTGGTTAGCTCTCTGCAAGGCCAAAATTTTGAGGACTGAATGGTTCTGAAGGGATGTGCTTCGGGTGCTGTACAACATTTGTATGCTACGTGTTAAAAAGTTTGCGGGGGCCTCTTAACGACGGAGAATCGTCGAGGCTTTACCGTAGCCCGTCTACTTGCATATAGGTGACACTTCTGACCGAAGAGATGCGATCGCGGTTCGTCGTCGGCAGTGGTACCGTTCTGTATATGAAGCGGTAGTATGAATGACCATCCAATGACAGAAATGAAATGAAGGCCAGAGTAATGGATGGCGAACCTGGGTTTCATGAGCGCCGAGAGAAAACGAGCTACCTCTGGCACTACGAAAGTCAGTTCACCGTCGCAAAACGAGCTCGCTCGAATTTCGACTGGCAAGATACGCCAGCTTCCCAGACATATATACACTGTGTCCCCACCACAAAATTTACGGCCCTTTTTTTGCCACAAAAATAAACTACACGTCGCCGAATGTTCATTCTGTGCCCCAATGTAGCGCCAGCAGTTCGTAAAAGGTGCCAAAATTTCAGAACTAACTGTCGTCTCATTCAAAAGATAAAAGTGATTTTCTGAAAATTTCAATGGGAAAATGGGCCCCTTGTTGCTCGTTTTCGGCAACTGGTGCCATTCAGCTCCATGTACTCGAGTGTTCAACTATGCATAGTTTATTTTTATGGCAAAAAAATACCGTAAATTTGTGCAGCCAAAGATGGAAGGTGATTTTCCATCACCTTCCAAAGATAAAAGGTAATCTTCCATCACCTCCCGAAGATGGAAGGTGATGGTCTCGACGGTGTGTGAGCCATTACAAGGGGGCAATTGCTTTCCAAAGTCTGAAGGCGATGATCTCGACAAGGGATGAAAGACGAGCAAAGAACAAGAGGAGGACGGGGCAGAGGTACGCCCAGCCTTCACTCGAGGAAGGGGTTTGTGTCGAGCGGGTGGCCGTTCCGATCGTAGGACGAGAGCATGGAGGAGCTGGAAGAGCTCTGCTCCAGGAGCCCGCTGCCCACCATGACGTCCAGATCCACAAAGCTGGGGTAGTGGGAGGAGCCCTCGGGGGTCTCGGGCACACTCGAGGAAAATGGACTGCTGCACAGTGTGGGCTCGTCCCCTACCAGGGCTGTCTCCTCTTCCTCCGAGAAGGTGGCCGTGCGGTCGGAGGGCTCGTCCTCCCCCAGGGTCTCCACGTCCCCCTCCGAGCTGCCGCCGCTGCGCTCTGTGCCGGATGGGGACCGGCTGCTGCAGGGGCCCCGGCCCCCAAGACGCGGCTCCGGCCCCGCCCTGGGCCTTGAGCCCTCTTCCTCCGACCCCTCCGCACGGTCCGACGACCCGCTTCCCTCACTCCCCGACCTCGGGAGGCTGCTGCCGCTCGAAGATGGTGGAGAGTCGCTCATGTCTTCCGGCTTGGCGAGGGCGGCCGTTGTTTCCGCGTTGTCCGCTTCGGGCAGCCTCGGGAGGGGGCGCTCCAACGTTGCGTCTTCAGAGTCGGCGATTCGGGCCTCGCCGTCCTCGGGCTTTGCACCTCGTGGCTCATCCGCTTCCGGTTTGGCGACCTCGCCGAAAGAAGCGGCCGTCCTCGCCGCGACGTCCTTCGGGTCCAGGAGGTCGGAGAGGTCGGCGGCCGGTGGAGGAGGGCAGCCGAGCCGGGACAGTTCGTAGGCCAGGTCGCGCTCCAGCTCTTCGTACCTCCTCAAGACCTCATTCACCTGGCTTGACCTGTACTCGGGGGGAGGCGGAATGCCCAGGATGCCTCCCAAGACCTCCTCCCCGAAAACCGTAGCGACGGACGAAGTAACTGGAGTTGTGGGACTGAGTTGGGCGACGAGGCCTTCCGGCACCGGGGGCTCTGAGCCCACGAGGCTGAGGGTGAGATCCGACATCTCGAAACCCATTTGTATGTGCGCCTCCTCGGAAGAGCCGTTGTCAAGAACGCCCCTACCTGCAGACGGCAGTGACTGGACGCCAGAGTCATCCATCACTTTGATGCTGTCCATTCTCATGCGCTTTAACCTTTCTTTTCGCTTAGGAGAGGAAGTGCTCCGCGGCGGTTCTTCTAGCTCCGCTTTCGTTACAATGCCACCCCCGGGAGAAACTCTGTCTCGCTCCAGTGTCGCTTCAATCGGCAAGAGGTCGCCAGGGATCGTGGTCCCCCTCCTCTCCGGCTCGCCTTCGGCCAACCTCCTCTTGCCGTCCACCCCGGACCGGTCGTCTAGCGGAGCGTCGCGCTCTGTCCCCCTCCTCTGCGGGGCCTTGCCTTCCCCGAGCAGCCTCTTCCTCCGCAGGACCTCGAAGATTTCCCGCTCCAGGGAGTCCTCCTCCAGGGAGTCGTCGTGTGAAGAGAAGCTGTCCGCGCGCGGCAGCTGGGTCAGGTGCACAAAGTCCACCGAGCCAGCTGCCGACCTCCCGCCCAAGGCCCTGGCCCTGGCAAAAATGGTGGGTGGGCTCGCCTGCCGGGGCGCGCCCGGGCGCCCCAGCTCGGCCCGTGCCGCCCTCCTCCGCCTGTGGTGGCCCCCCTCGCTCCGTCTCGTCTTCGAGTCCCTCAAGAAGCCCCTCCGGTGGAGCAGGTAGCCGAACTCGGCGTCCTCCTCGTCAAAACTACGGCTCGCGCGTGCAAGCTCGGCCCCCCCCGCTTTTGACCTCCGGCGCCCGCCCTCCCTCTCCGCCTGCCCGTTCACCAAGGGTACCGTGTCCGCGCGCGAAAGGACGTCGAGGTCCGCGGTGATGTCGACCGAGAGGTCGGCGACGGCATCCGTCGAGAGGTCGGCTGTGGGGGTGTCCTTACTTGGGCTGCCGGGGGCCGCCGCGGCCAGCGACGAATCCCCCTCCTCGAGGCGGTACGAGTCGTGCGAGACGTTGTCGTCGGTGTCCTGGCTCGGCGTCACAGCCCCTCCCGCCTCCGCGGGCGCCCTCGGGGCCATAGTTTCGCGGCCCGCCTCCCTCCGTGGAGAACTGGGCTCCGAGAGCGCCGCCGGAGTCGTGGAGGCGGACGCCTCTGCAGCTGGCGCGCGCTCCGCCTCTTCGTCATCTGAAGTGCCTACGCTGCTGCGCGACGGCAAACGCAGACTCGTTGATCTGTGGCGGAAAGGGTGGGGAGAGGAGCGAGGGAAAAGAAGAGGAAAGAGCGAGCGTCAAAGGTCATTCTCCAGACATACTCTCGTGATTTCTCCGAGCCAAACAAAAAGAGGGTATGTCACTGTCGGACGTTCTGCTTAGAGAGCAGCCAAATACTCGAAAGCTTTGCGAGACGACAGCGAACAGGGAGCAGAGAAACTGAATGAAGATACTTCCGAAGGTTAACCTTTTTTGCTTGTTTCCATCAGAATGGCAAACGATGAAGAAACTGACCTAAATGAGGTCCTCCACTACACTTATTTCTACTTTGCGCTAGCACGCATGAAAAAGGAGGCCAAGGATGAGGAGTGTTAAAGCGAGGCTCGAAAAATAACCATCCTGAAAAGATTAGCCGATAAATAAAATTGTGCCAATCAAGTACCAGAATTGACAAACCATTGTTGAGAATTCTGAAATGCAACACGAATGCATTCTACAGCGCAGCATATCTCAAATTTGTAAGAACTGAGCCAACCCTCCGCTCATGTAGCAGACAAATGAGGACTCGATTTTCAGCTAGAGAGGCAGCGGGTGAATGCATTGTCAAAATAGCGGATACATTGCGCAAAGCAAACATGCCCCCAGGCAAAGTTTGTTGGTTGTTTGCAGCATTTTCACTCGATGAAGTCCAGCTTTAAGTAAAGTAATTTGTCTTTCAATTAGCTAATCTTCACTTACAACCCAGGGTTTTTCTTTCACTGGCACAGTTCATTTTCCTCAGAGGTAGAGGTATAAGTCACCGAAAGACCCATTTATATTTGCACTCGCTAGCCATTCATTTCAAGATAAGCAGTGTGCTCAGAGTTGTTTGCTTTCTGCAAATGTAGAAAACCGGACCTCCTAAAAGAGAAAAAGCCTTATGGCTGTTTCCCAACTCACACTTCAGCACGAGGCTTAAGAAGACACTTCTTTACACAATGTCACCAAGAAACACAATGCCTGCTCCCAACTTGCCTCCCCGACAGATTTATCCCGAATAGATCTCTGCAGCCGTATTGTACAGCTCTCGCAAGCTACACTACTAGATGCATTCCAAATGGGAACATTTGCTTCCAAAAGGAACTGCGGCAACGTGAAGGTAGACGAAAATAATCCCTGGAGAAAGGGAACATTTGAGAGAAATCTCTCTGCACTGACATGGCCTTAAGGGGGAACACTACCCCAAAAAAATCATATTTAAACCACTTGTCTGATTTAAATGACATTTACAGGGCTTGTTTTTAATGATGTTGAGAACATGTGCGCCAAATTTTGTTAACCTGGGTGAAGTACAAAAAAAATTGCAAATGCTCAAAGATGAAGGTGGGCGTGTCTGCGTAGGAAAACTATTGTTTTGAAATTACTTATACATTTGTTGTTTTCATGTGTTATATTGCTTTAGGACAGTTCAGAGCAGATAACTATGGAGCTATAATTCCATATTATACCACCTTTTATGACAAAAAAAGTCACATAAACACAAATAGTTTTTTTTTTAATTTCCATCCTTTGTCCAAAATTTGTAAATTTTGAGCAAGAAAATTGACAAAAATAAAAAAAAAATACAAGCTCATAGTTATCTTCCTTTTAAAATTTCACCCCAGGTAATCTTATAAAAATGAATCCAAGTTTTGTAATAACAAAACTATAGTTTTCCTAAAGTGAAATTTATGCCAAAAAGTGGGATGGAGAAAAATGCATTCAAAGTGCTCCAACCTCTACCTTTTCTTTAGCATCGGTGGACCGAAAATAATTTATAAAAAATTCACTATGAAGTGTAAACTAATGAAACTTCCTGGGAATACTCTCTAGATGTTGGTGAATGTAAATATGATGACATTTTTCAAAATCAACTTTTTTTGCAGAAATAGATTTTTTTTGGGGTAGTGTCCCCCCCTTAATGCAGTGCAGCATCAATGTTCAGGGGTACTATGCTGCAAGCAGACACTGATGTTCTGGTCTAAGCTTGTCTTCTCGACCACACTCGATAAATATCACACAGCAGAGTCAGTGTTTGGTAGAGAAGGAAACAGAATCTCTCTTACCGCGAAAATAAACTATACATCACCAAATGCTGAGCCTGCACCCAAATGTAGCACGGGCAGTTGGGACAAGATCTTAGTTTCAGGACCTACCCACAACTGACCAAAGAGCTATAAACTACCGTAATATCCCGCCCAGCCCCTGCAGCCTGAAATTCATAAGAAACGTGGGGCGGGCCATGTCTCGGTGGGTAAGCATAAAAAGTTTAGAAAAAGCTAAAAAAACGCCCATTTTTCTGTCATATTTAGCATGCCTGCACAAGAGATACATTAAACTTAAATTACTTTCGTTGTTTTACGCAAGAAATGCTCATGAAAGGATGTTTTACTATCACAAAGTCCGTTGCTTGCATATGTGCAATGGGGACTGCCGATTGGAATACAGTGTGGATGTTTGTTCCGTGAAAGCATGTTTCCACCACTGCTATCTCCTCCTCTTGAGTAAAAAAAAGGAAGGAAAAAAGAGTCAACAAGAAAGCAGAAAAACCAATCAAGTGCAGCGAACGAAAGAAGTGACGAAGAGCTACGTTGGGGGGAAGCGGGAAACCTGGCGATCGTGCTGGCAAATACTCTGTCGCCGGTCCAAGTCGGGAGTCTTGTCAATCACAAGCCCTTGTGCAACTTTTTTGTTTGGTGCATACATGCGTGCGTCCGTGCTCGGCATGCTATCAACGCAGGTTAAGGTGGCGTTGCTGCGTGGCGTGGATGGCACCACGAACACGGAGCTCGAAATGGCACGCTTTACAAACGTCTGCGTGCGGCGTTCAAGCAAATCTTAACTTACCCGTTGGCTTCGTCTCAAACATTACGCAACCTTACTATCCGCGGTCACGACGTTCTGGAAGAAGGAGTGGGTTCGCGGCGGCCTCATTTTGCTGGAGATGGATATTGACCTAACATCTTTGACCTTAGACTCCACGGTTACATTCTAGGATATGGGGCGTTCGCTAACCTCGCGATCCCTGAATGGGTTACTGCTTGTATCTTTCCAACTTTTTTTTTTTGTCCAAACAAACATTTTTGTAAGCAAAACAAAGTTTCATTTAGTTATGTCTATTGTTTTCCTTTCGCATGCATGTACTCCGACTTAGGGGTTGCGGAAATCGGGGAGCAAATGGATAAGCAAAGTGAAGCGTCTTTCCCTTCTTTGTTTTATTTTTTCATGGACGTCCTCTAACCGTAAGGTCCACGGCCGCGTTATGCGGGTAGGATGAATGATCGCGGATTTTGCAAACCGCGTTTGGATATTTGTAGGGGTGGGCAGTATTTTCGAAAATATTTTATGAGAAGATGGCAGTCAACAAGGCCCAACATGGCAGCCAACAAGTAGATCCAACACCGGGAACAAGCTTCTTTTTCTCAATGAAACTTTCCGAAAATCACGTCCTTCAAATAAAAAAAATGCAAACTTCCATAACTTTGTGATCCGGTCCCACCTGCTAGAGCTACATTCAGGCAGCGAGCGAGCGTTGGGTGATGCACACAGTTTATTCCTGCGGTGAGAGAAACACAGCTTCTCCCAAACACCCTGTACACATCAAAAGAATTGGTTGAAAGTCACTATACCCGTCTTCACCTCAAGAAAACAGCAAGTTTTGCGCATTGTTCATACGCCGCGCGAAATAGTTCTCGCCAGATTTGGTTGTCGGAGGCACAGGCGATGCTTTTGGCGCTTGAAACGTGTACTCCTTGATAAGATAACGTGTATCCACTCTAAAATGCTAATAAATATATCTTAAATCTCCACCTAAAGGTGAAAATTAGTAATCATCCGCGAGAAGCCGGACTTTTTTTCCTATGCTTCTTGAGGTGAAAACAGGTATAGTAGATTTTGTACTTAGAGTGAAGTAAAATCCACACAGTTTTAAATAAATTACATCAAACATGATGTACATTATCAAAGTGAAGAGCAAATATTTTCTTTGGCAGAATCAACTTAACTCTCGTGTCATCGAAGATATCCTTAATGAAACAAAACTCAGAAATAAAGTGCGTTAGAACCTAGAAAAACAAATATCTGCATTTCGCTTGCAAAGAGAAAAATCTTGCGATTATCAGCCAAGTGATTCCGTCAGTGATTCAACTGTTTTATCAGAAGCCAAATTCCGGAAATGTACTCGGAAGTCACCTATTAGACTTTCTTTAGAAAGCACCATATAGAAAACTTACTTGACTTTAAGTACAAAGTAATGCTACAATTATTTTCCCACAGTGTATAGAACAAATATGAGACAGAAAATGACCATGTTGCCTTCCCAAAAGAACACCATGCAAGCCATGCCAACATGCCATTCTCAAGCCATGGGAAAGAAGAAAAGGAAGAGGGGAAGAAGGAGGGCAAAAAGATACATTGAAATACAGATGGTATAGGGAGGTCCTGATGCTAGTGTGCTCAGCAGAAGTGCATAAGTGTTTGTCGTAAAAAAAGGAAAGAATGTCAGAAAAAAAAAAGAACTGCAGTAGTATGGTGTGCAAGAGACAAAACTGAAAGGTAATTTTTAGGTGCCTTTCAGCTGAAATACAAACAACCGACAAAGCAAGAGGGCCTTCAAGAGAACGTTCTGGCAATGCTGTGTGAGCAGACAGTGAGAATGGTAGTCTGAGTGAAGAGGTGAGCGACAGAGAGAAAGAGTGAGACAGACAGATAGAAAGAGAAAAAAGATGTTTGCCACATACCGGTTAAGGCATTTGAGTGTCAAACGGTAAAGTATTGGGGACCGAGTATGTACCTTTGAAAGGGCTGCCTCTTCACATAGTTCTCCCTAACATATTCAACAATCTGCTTCTGCGTTCTACCACTATACCTGCAAAGAGACAAAGAGCAGAAAGAACAAACAAAGGAGCCTCTCAGGCTGGCATCTAAGACCAAGCATCTAAGACGGGAGGGGGCAAAATGATAGACAACCCAGAACCCCCCCCACATGATTTGCATTAACATGCCTCAACCCCCTTTGCCCAACAACAATAACGCCATGTTTACGATGGCATGCACATGGAACTGCATTCGTAGAACCGCTAGAAAAACATCCAGAGAAAGCAAAAACCAAAATGCCACAAAGAAAGAACTAGGCACAGTTGGGACAAACTTCAAGCATCACTGCACCATCGCTCACTGGAGCTACGGAGCTTCTGCAGTGGCGGCATTTACGAAAGCAAATGCACAAAGAATTCAAAGCATACCTCAGATCCACGGAGATACTAAAACAAACGTTGCACAGTCATGTCGAAGAGAGAACTCAAAAAAGAAAATGAGGAGAAGGACTCATCTTCGCTGCATCACAGGCATCGTCATGCAAGTTGATTTCGAGCCTCTGAAACGATGCAGCTTGGACGAAAACATTAAGCTCGCTATGCAACTCTTTCTTTTTTGGCACAAACACAGACACACACACGTGGCAATTCTGAAGGTGCCTAATTGAACCAGAGACCGCCAATGAGTTCCCGCCCATGACTGAACGCACTCTCCAACTCCGAATGATTTGCACGCTAAACATGCTCGTCATGAGCTAACCTGCGGATATATTTGACAAAGTTCACTTTCCTCAATCTTGCAGCTAAATGCACATTTCTAGCCCAATTGAATCCCGTACACTACGGTGTAACCAGCAGGAGCCTAAGCCCACCTGCTGAACAACGAAATGTACGCTTACATATAATCTGTTGCAACGTAAGATCTGGAGGCTTCGTAATTATGAGAAAGAACAGGCATCACTACGCTATTCAACAAAAATGCACCATTTCTTCCGACCTTAAAGCGTAGGTTCTCAGAGGGTTCCCCAGAGTTGGGTACTTTTGAGCTTTTCCCCTGTGTAAGCATTTTCCCAGAACACTCTTTTAGCAGATCTGAGCAGATCTGAGCTGCATAACTATGAGCCAAGCACTTTGTGTATTATTGTTTACAAAGTCTGTCCACACTGTTTCACTGGGAGGGGTTCTTTCCTTTTCCCGCGCCAGGAAAAGAAAGGTGTTTCGGTTCATTTCAACATAGCGGCAAGAAGCATTAGCCCTCGCGACACATAACCGCATTTCTTTTTGCAATCTTTTTAAGACACTATTACGGGGTAACATCCACGAGCTTTTGAAAAGGAAGAAAACTCAAAGTCGACACTAGCCTCGCTCCTGCAACTGGCTGAATTGGTCGGAGCCTCGGCTCAATTGTAGCTGTTCACCGGCAATGACCGCAAGTGAGCGCAATCTCCTTACCGTACCTCGCGCCTATTGGCGCGAGTCTGAGTCCTTGCTAACTCAATCACTTCAGTTCGCATTATGTGCTCAACTTCGGGTTGGTCTCTAGTGCCCTTATTCATCTTGGATTGAGACGGCAAGATTCTGGAAGGTACAACTGTACTGAAGCGCTTCTCCTCAAAGCAATATGGTGAAACAGCCAACAGAGCGAAGCATGCGCTTTTATAACAATACGTAGTTGCTCCGAAATGAAAAAAGATAGACCGTAAAATACAGAGCGAGCGCCCAGCCGAAATTGGGAGGTAATTAAAAAAAAAACAACTGAGGGATGGCCGGATGGAGGAGCACAAGGGTCGGGTGGGCCCTTGGTCTGGTCACCAGATTCAGAATGGCCATCGTCTGCCGAGCTAGTCAAGCGCGCCAACTCGTAAAAACAAAACGTCGGCGTTATGTTCGCTGAAGAAAAACCGCTCTACGGTTACACTGTTGATTGCTTCCGCAATTCGCCACTTGCAGCCATAGCTCACACACGCGTACTGCCATGCTCGGTTTAGCTTGGCTTGGCCTAGCTGCTTGGCAGCCCTGACTTGATGGCTGCGCCGGAAAGAAAATCAATAGGTACGTTCAATTCGGCCAGAGAGTCCTGAACTAGCTCTATCCAAGTTGAGAGGAGTGCAGGAGTTGTGCAGTGGCGGCGGAGAACCAGTGGAGCCACCACGTTAGGATTGGCACTGTGATTAGCTTCCGGAGTGTAAGCGCAGGGTGTTGTTTGCATCTGTCGTCTCTTGTTTGTCCATACCATGTCATAAGCAACATTAACTTCTGCCCGATTTAAGAAGCTCGGTCGCTTTTCTTTAGTATTGAAGTACATAAACAAAATATTTTCTACGAATGAGTCTTTATTCTAGTGTACTAAAAATGTTTTCAGCACCAAATGCGTTTCTGTCAGAATTTTTAACAGTTACCACTTGCTTTCTATCGTCCATAAGCATTTGTGTGCTTGGACTGCATACACCACGAAAGAATTAAAATTCATTTGGCAATAGTGGATTAATTGCGAGTCTCTCGAGTTTCGCATTTCGGTGATAGGTTCGTGGCATCATGGTGATTTCGTGTCGGGAGTTGCCGGCGGCAGCAGACGGTAGCAGTCACTTAGGAGACGAAGGCCTGACAGGAACGTCGGCTTGGCCAAAACAGTTATCGACCGTCACTTTAACGTCAAGATGAAGCATTTATTCTGACTCTCAAGAAAGATCCGCGTGGAGTTCGTGGGCGGCCGCAGATACCAGCAGACAAAGCATGCAGTATTTGCTCAGTTACGAGGGCACGCAAGTGCCAATGTACTAAATCGGAGTCGTAGTCTGCATCCAAGAGCAACTGAAGGTGGGGGCTATCAAGAGTATAAGTAATACTTTACCTCCATCAACATTGTGAATACCCATATAGCATCAAAAAGAATAAATTATGTGACAGCAATCTTTCAACACTTACCGCAAAGAGCCAAACCTGTGCGAGCAGGTGCGTAAGACACAAACAGAGTATCATAGTCGAGCTAATTCCTACCCTTTGTCAGGATCCTGCTTCCGCATCCACCAGGGGTGCATAATTTTCATCAGTAAGAGACAATGGTAACCTCCGTCTCGGCGTCACTGTTAAACATGGCAGACATTTGAGCAAAAGCCCCGAGAAATGGCATTACGAGGAGAGGCAGATGAGGAGTGTCGTCTGCTCTCGTCGCCTGCTTCTGCATGCACAACGAACTGACTCCGGAGCCAATGCAAGGTTTTGAGGAACTGGCTCTGAACTCACTCAGAACTAGGATAAATTGAACGTGCCAGTGCAGCAGCCGTGCAACTTCTGTTTGAATTAAATGCGCCAAGTATTAATGACTATTTGGGGGGGCTAATTATGCGATTAAGTAAAGTAAATAAATGAAGCAGTAAACACTTTATTAAGAAAAATTAGGAAGAGGTCGATTGCTCACAGTCTAGTCTTCGTCAGTAAAGCCTTTGAATGTTTCTTGCAAGTTGGAACAAAAGAATAGCTCATCTATCGGTTTGTATCCCCTTTCGACTTTGCACCCGTGCTATGCCCGCACTGTCCTCCGGTCGCGGAGATAACGGCTGCCCACGGTGATAGGGCTCTTGATGCAGCTACGTACCAGATATTTTGAAACTTGCTAAAAATAGAGAAGTGGGTGTTTGATATATCCTTGGATCGTTTTTAAAATCTTTCAAAAGCAGGGGGTGGTCGCTTATTGTGACATGGGTGCATGTTCGGTACTTTACGGTATATTCCATGAAATTGTCGACTCAATATATTGTGTTGTATTTGCCATTGCGCAGTGTTTTATGAAAGGGCACAGTTTCCTTTTTTCATTACCTAAAAACTAGCGGTTGTAGAAGAGCCAGAACCTGGTGAATTGAATGAAACTTTTTTAATTGCCACATGCTGTTATTCTACTCCATTTCTACTCCAATTTCGAGCTTACAAAACAAGGCTGGACGGATAGGCGGGACGCTGCAAAACCCGAAAACATCACACATACAGCGATATCTCTAATGGATCGCCGTATTTTTGGGAAAGAAGTGCGCGATTGCACAAGGCCGACGAGACAAGGCACGTCACGATAACCCTTCCCTCTCCACCTCGCTACGTCCGGTCGAGCTGAAGAGAAGCGAGGAGAAGAGAAGCGAGACCGACTCGCTTGATTGCACCCTTCTTTTCCAAAAGTACGCTCATCCGTTTGAGATAACGATGTATGAGTGACGTTTTGGAGTTCGTAGCATCCCATTCAACGCTTCTGCAACCTTATCTTGCGAAATCCAAATTTCGGTTTAGCATCCCTTTTTTAAGCTAAAACTGCAGCCAAAGCTACAAGTGCGAGCTAGCCCGTGATCGTGGCTTTGGGACATTCCTTTCTAGCGCGAGAGCTCGTTCTGTGGACGAACGCTTTAAAGCAGCGACCTCGAGCTCTCATGCTTTTTGGACTGGCTGCAGTCTTTGCTTAAGGGTGAACCGAGTATAGGTTACGCTGGTATCAGTTTGCAGAATGTGCGAAGAAAAGCGCTCTTCAACAGCAATAACCTGCTTTGAAGTCTTCATACAGCTTTCCTTAAACTGACAGCATGGAATGAGGTGGAATCCTCCGCAAATGTGTCTTTTTTGTTTCTTTCCGCCAAATCTGTTTTCAGCGCCGAATTAATATCCCAGCCCAGAAGCGGTACTGTGGGGCAAAAAAAAGAAAGAACAAGCATGGGCATCTTGAGAATGCCACACGCAAGCCACACGTACCAACTCACATTACCTCGTCTTGCTGTGTATTGTCTCACGGTGCTTCAATTTCTAGCTTGGGTTCCCACTTTCCTAAACTACCTAAGTGTTAACCTGCCACCCCGAGAACAGACGAATGAGGATTGGCCTTGAACCCGTCCATACTCCTCTGTTCTTCAAGACGATGGTGGCGAGTGTCTGGGCGGGGCTTTTTCTGGCTGGAGCCTCTCCCGAAGGCCTTACGTTGCAACGCAGTTCTGGCTCAAGCTAGCACCAAAACAATTAGAGCAGATGGGGGGCACAAGAAGCACTCGAGCAAATGGAACACACTGACGTCTGCTAGACAGCAAATCCCTCTAAGCAAACGTTCACGCCACCCTATTAGCAGACAAAAGCAGCCTGTGAGCAACCCAGTCACAGCAGCGATGCGAACGGACCGACACACGTTGGTTGCCAGCCGCGCAAGTGCCGAAAAAAAACTGTCAACAAGGAAGGCAATAAAAGCATGCTGGCAAGCTGATATATCTCGAGCTACGAACGAAGCTGTCTTTGTCATGCCCAGTGTTTCAAAGAACGTTTGCATTGCCTCTATCTCAAAAGTGCCGTACAGCATTGCCGGAGGCACAGTCTCGAGTGCCTGGTTCTGCGCTTCTGTTGCTTGAGGTCTCGAACAAACACTCAGCCTTTTGCTAAGCTTTCGTCTCAGACCCATGCCCTTCAAAGCACTGCACGGAGCTTACGAAATAAAATATAGCGGGACTTTGAGCTCAGAACTACTATGATGTTGTCACACCGACCCTACTAAGTACAAAGCTATACTTAGTTAGCACCTCGTTATGCCTGGCGCAGCTTAGCCCTAGCCAAGTGTGATGAGAGCACCTCTTCAAAGATGCTTCCAGGAGTCTTCCTTCCAGAGACAGCCCGAATGCGCAGCGGTATGAAGGCATGCATGCCCCTCGAAGGAAGGGCGAACGAAGTCCGGCTTACCTGAACGACGAGCCTCGGCTGAAGAGCCGAGTTTTCTGTCGGGGTGTCTTCTTCACCTCGGTGCAACGGAAAAAGGCGTGGTTCTCAATGCACTTTTTCCAGAAGTTCTTGCACTCGTTGCGACTCTCGAAGAAAAACTCCACCGTTTCCTTGTAGTAACCCTGCGGCAGCCAATTGACGCCCGTCGTCACTTGACCGGCTCGGAGAAGACCCTCGTCGCGCATTACGAGAAACTCTCACGCTTGCGCCTCTGCCTGCGTAACACCCGCAGCGGCGTAATTTGAGCGAACCACGTCTTACGAACGTCCTCAAAATGTCCGCACACCACCGGGACGTCCCAAGGACGTCCGCAGAGCCGAGCGTGCTGCTGGGACAAAGGTCGGTTTGACGCGGCACAAAGCCGTAATTCGCCACGAACGTGCGGCAGCTGTTGAAGACAAAATTTTTGGCAGCGAGGTGAAAGCCACGAACGCAATCGCACGATGCGCGTGATGGAGAAGGAAGCTCTGGAGCTTTTGCCTGGATAAAAACCAGTTTCATAAAAGATGTAATACTAGTTTTGAACTATGCATGAATGCGGTTCCCACAATTTATTCTTCCCATTTATGAAAAAAAAAAAAAAAAAGAGCCTTTATATTTAGTAAAAAAACAACCAGCGTTTCCTGCTACCGAGCATCTAGACCCAACACCGAGCATAAAATGCCAGCCTTGCAGAGACGAGCGAGAATTCCCGTCCAAATACCCGATACGGTCAACACTGCCTTCGGTTATAACCAGGTTTCCAAGTCTACGTGGTTTATTTTCTTCTAAGTGGGGCATGGTTTTTCGGGGTTTGTTTCTCCCCTTATTTTTAATGTTCTTCGGCATCTATTCTCGTGCCAAAAGTATTGGGGCTTTTAAAGGAAACAAGACAAGAGGCATGGTTCCCCGAGAAAGCCTCGCCACCATGTTGGCCATGTTCTGGCTCAACACAAAATGAGGCTGTACATGGAGAGTCAATGTTTCTTATTCAAGGACAGCTTCCATTACAGTTCTCCGGTTTACGACCGGCTCGGGCGCTGCTTTGTCCCAGTTTACCTGTATTCACCAAAAACAGGAAACCCTAGTTAAATTCGATGCAGCCCAACTAAAAAAAAAAGTAAAAGGTAAAATATTCTCGCTTACTAATAAAAATGCCCCCAACGTACCCGGTGCTCTAATGGTTCGAGGCACCCGGCGCACACTTCTCCTCAAAACTTATCGAATGAACGACAGATACTAACGGCCATAGCCCTAGGTCCAACGAGCCCAGCCGAGTGAATTTTTGTGACGCTTCTTACAGTGACAGAAACGATAAAGGCATGCATACAACTCTGAATACGAGTCTGACTTATCGTTCCTAGATATATTTGTCACAAGAAGGAGACCATATTCATCTATTTATTTAACGATACTACTGGCCCCAACAGCGAGGGGCACGGCCTAGCATCCACAGTAAGAGAATGCAATTATTCGGATTGCGGATGTGTGTCGACCATGACTGACGAGCGGAATCCCTTAGCCTCTTCTCCTTCGATCCTTTACAGCAAGCTAAAAGGTACCTCAGTTGCATCATATTTTATACTAAAGTTTAAACAAAAGTAAACTAAAAATAAAATCTAAGCTTGTTCCATTCAATGAGTGGCTGTTCTGCTGTGCCGAAACTGCGAAAGCCTTATGAAACATACCATAAGAAACAGGTTGTGCGGCAGAAAGGGATTTTTAAATAGAACGTAAGGGCTTGCGGCATTTTGGCCGTGTCACCACTTTCTGCTTTACAATTCTTAAGGCCACTGACAACCCAGGCATCCATACTTTTTTACTAATCCAGTAAACTCTAAATGATCCCTTGACATCATCCTAAACTTTTAAACTTAAAAGCAACACATTTACAGACAAAAAAATTTTTTTTGAAAAGTCCAATTTGAAATTTTTGGATCAATGACACAATGATGAAATGGCGCATTCATTGCTTTTTTGAATGACTGGAAGTGTCGTTTAACTTTCTCCCCTCCCCTTTCCTCTAACCGATCGTGGCAATTCGGGCACTCGCGTCTGCCAACCAGTCAACTGCATAGTACTTATTTTGATGTGCCCTTCGCAGGTCCTTTCTCCATGTGTATATGATGCACCACTTCTCAGTTTGATTTTTTATTTTTTTTTTTAAGTGTCCTATTTAGTTGGTTTAAGTTGTTTTAATGCGGAATGCATTTATGGGCTGAATACCGTGCGAAAAGTGTTATGCTCAGGTAGGACGAAAAAGCGTTACATGCGGGCCAAGGCAGCAGCATACACGGCCCATAGAAAGCATATAGGAGACATTGTTTGTCATACTTAATCGTACGCAATTATAACTAGGAATAAATAATCGTAACCAGAAAGATTTGCCCGCGGCTCACGGGAATCGAACCCCCGACTGTGCAATCTGCAGCCCTTTCCTCGGTGCTGCCTGGAGAAGGTGAAGGCGAGGACAAGCAGTTGGACTAAGTAGAGTTGAATCTCGTCAATTCAAAGTCTCTTAATTCAAACTAACATGCAGGTCCCAACCTATGTGTTTCCCCCCCCCCCCCGTTCCCTCCCTCCCTCCCTCCCTCCCCCTCCCTTCCTTCCTTCCTCCCCCCCCCCCCCCCCCCTACGGGAGTAAACTCTCGGTATTTCTTGCTTTATTCAAACAAATTTTCGGTCACCTCAAGTATGAATTAAAGAGATTCGACTGTATGTCTCAGGGGAGCCTGCAGTACCCTCGACGACCTTCGAAGCACGCAGCCGACTACCCAACAATGAAGTGTAACTCCCCACGTGATCTTATCGCGTCACAGAGCGGATTGTAACGCGCCCACGGAGTGGGCGGCGGACGTATGAGGTGTCAACTTCACAAAGCAGCCAATACTACACTGCGTAGAGTGCACCACAAACCTTTATCCCTCGTTATTATTTCGGTTACCGCAAGAAGCTCTTCTCAATTCGAGAGCACTAAGGTCTCGAGGTGCTGCACATATCCTCGAAAGAAGCGGAACCCGGGGGAACTTGCAAATAAAGCGTGCTCCTCGCGGAATAAATTAAAATCTGCCTCAGTAATTCTGATATATGTGGGGAGTAGATAAAAGTGTCGCGTGTGCAATGCATCCAGAACCACCCAAAGCTCCCCGCAACAACAAATCATAATGCACGCATAATGTATGCAGGCAGCGGCGTAGACTTTCCATTTTCCCGGTGGAGGCAGGCTGAGAAGTTCTCCAAGGGGGGGGGCGCTTTTTTGCGCAATTTTCTTTACACCGGCATTTGTCAGTACAGTGAAACCCGTTTAGAACGAACCCACATACAGCGAAATATTGTCCATATCGAACTCACAAAAAATTCAAATAAAAATGCATGTAAAAAGTACTTTTTATAACGAACAACAAATTGGCTATATTGAACTTTTCCCCCCAGGAAGGCTTCCAAAAACGCGCAAACAATCCTCTTCTAGCCTGTCTCTTCCCCCAAGAAAGAAGTAGGAAACAAAGTTCCAAAAGCTCAAGTTGCTAACAAAATTGAGCAAAGAGAAGCGGTTCAGAAGGGGAGAAAGCTAAACAAATGACCGCATCTCCACGTGGTGAATGATGTTGATTGAGGCAAAGCTCTGGTGGTGCTCATGATACTGATTTTATTGTTCATAGATAGTGCTGATGGAGCTGATTTTTCTATTGCTCATAGGTAGTGCTGGGTTGCGTTTCGACTTCATTATTACTGCTTTATGGTCGGTGAAATGCAGAGCCAGTGGTTCTTCTAGCGGATCAGCTTGGATCCGCTAGAAGCCGTGGGAATGCACCTCCACCGCTTAAGCCAATGGTCCATGTTAGAAAAAGAATGTGTGGTATGGAACGTGGTTAAATACGCATTCGAGCGTTTGACCGCAGTGCCCTCTCGTCTATAAACGTTGAGCCAATGCATGCAAAGTTTAACGCGATTATATACGCATTTGACCGCAGCGCCCTCTCCTGTATAGACGTTGAGCGGCTACATGCAACGTTTCATCTATGACAGAAACCCCAGCTCTTGAGTTACTACCACATCTCAAAGCCCCCTACTCGTCCCGCAGTCGTGGCTGAGTGGTTAAGGCGATGGACTAGAAAGCCATTGGGGTCTCCCCGCACAAGTTCGAATCCTGTCGACTGCGCAAACGTTTTTTTTTTTTTTCTTTTTATGTGAGCACGCGCGCCGGCCGGACAGACGGACGGCCAGACCGACGGACAAGGCTAGACCCTAAGAAGCTTTGCCCCTAAAAATACACTCTGCACGCACGCACAGAAAAAAAACACTTTTAATGCCAAAGCGTCTGCTCACGAAGAGAAGCGATTTAAATGGGGAGATAAGCTAAACAAAAAAACTCTGCACGCATGCAGAAAAAAAACAAAAAAACTTTACAGCGCGGTGTTACAAGGCGGAGGTGAAGAGAGGAAAAAGAGAAGCTCTTGCCTTAAAGCGAACGGATTGTGGAAGTTCGTTGTAGATGGTTTTTGCTATATCGAACTACTTGCTATATCGAACTGATTGTAGCGTTTCCTGCTGTTCGTTATAAACGGGTTTGACTGTAGTTTATTTTAGGGGGTACATTTTCCAGCGTTTGTATATCGCCATGTGCCCGTCGCTGTGTGCGTTATTTTGTTTACATGCCACTACTAGAAGCTTGTTACATGCCATGTAAACAGCGTCTCGGTAACGATCATAGCCCGGGGGCGGGCTCTGCCCCCCCCGCATCTCACCAGAGGGGGCACGAGCCCCGATGCCCCCCCCCCCCCGTAGTCTACGCCTATGTACGCAAGACGCATTCCGTGCTTCCCGAGCGAATGACCGAGATAAGTTTTTTTAAATACGGTAGGTAAAGAGGAAAATGATGTATTGCAGGCTTTGGTGAGTGACGTCGGGGTCAACCCAAGCTGTTTGACCGCATGACAATTGCTGTCTACAAATCTAAAAAAATTATGCGGCACCGAAAAAAAAAAAAAAAAAATGAAAAAGCTTGTTTGAGCCTGAAATGAGTGATAAGGTGCAGGCGAGCTGGTTTACATTCATGATTTACGACTTCGTCGTGTATGTCCTTCTTGTTTTTCCTGTCTCAGGGCTGTCTTAAATCTTGTTTGAGCAGTCACCCAAATCCCAATTCTCCCCATCACTCTCAATGTGCTCAGCACACGTGCACGGTGCCACCATATTGAGAGAAAGGAAAAGAGCCAGAAGACGGCCGATTCATCTTACTAACACTTCTGGGCTCCAAGATTTTATATCTTGACGTCAGTGGTGTAGTATGTTTGCATTGGTTGTAAAAAATATATTTGATGAATGCTATTATGAACTGTTTTGCACACGTGGCTCGCAATATGTCTGAATTTTTGTCAAATGCATTCACCTACTACATCATAAAACAAAAGCGAGAAGGAACCCGGATTAAGTGAGCAAAACACAAATATTAGACAGGCTAGAATTTTTTTTGTGCAGAGTTTGGTTAGTTGGTAACACTTTCAAAAGCCCCTCCCGCCGCTTCTGCAGGGACTATAGATATTTACCGGCATTCCCAAAATCGCACCACCAGATTTGGCTAGATTGAACCTGACCCGACCCGAGAACGAAGCAGTTTGTGTAGATCAGCCCAAGCCCGACCAAGTCTGAGCAAGGCCTTCCTAGTGTTACAATGGCTTTGCCTTTATGGCACGGAAAAAATAGAAGTCCGCAATGCACGGGCGTTTGGCGTGTGGGGCAGTCTCGCATGCGCCACGAAGAAAATCGGACAAACTAGACTCTAATAAGAAATGGTGGCAAGGACGGGATACAAACCCGCGTGATCAAACTGGCTGAAGTCGGTGTAGAGCTCTAGGCTGGCGAGAACAAAACCAATCTCAGAGACATTCAGAACTGGGTTGATGAATGTTGGTGGAACGTTGGTAAAAGCATCTCGCAGAAGAAAAACACAAAGCCTACCAGAGTGGGAGGGCGTGCCTTTTAAACGCCCGGCTTCCGGTAGGCATGCCTTCTGCCGCGATTTGGCAGTGCACGCGACTTGCACAAGGCACCCAAGCGTCGTTGAAGGCAGAACGCTCGAGCTGGAGGAGGGATAACTCGAGCTTCTCTCTCACACCTTGACCATCAGAAGCGTTCGACCAGACAGTGGTACCACGGTGCAACCCCTAGCAGAAGCATTTCACATTGAACACGGCCGGACTGGCCAGACAACCTGTGGGTAGGTTTTTGACTTCCAAGGAGTCAAACCTTTACTGTGCAGCGAGATCAAGAAACGTGGCCGCGGAAAGGCACAGACGCAACCGAGACGCCGCGGGCGCATTAGAATAGGTCCGAACAGGTAACGCTTTGCTACACGATGCAACACCGACGTTGCTGCCAACCACCTTTCAAGGCAGAACAAAGCGGCCCTTATCGGTGCCACATGCTCCCAATAGCATTCCCCTTCAAAGTGCATTCCCTCGATCCGTGATGAGCAACTACACCTTGAGCTTCCATATCGCCATCCAATGGACTTGGCACTTACGTAACCCTCGGGGTGGAGCTTGATGAGGAACTTGCGCCTCTTGAAACTGAGCTTGCGGATCTTTGCCCACGAGAAGGTGTTGATCTTGGTGGTGTTTTGGAACACTATGATGCCCATGTGTGCCACCGAGAGGTTCAAAGGAAGGCCGTCGTTGTCCTGAAACAATGGGCACGATCAACGTTGTTGCAACGAGCCGAGCGGCGCAGTCGGTCCGCACCTTTGCGGCAGTCATCCGGATGCCGTAGAGCTCGCATCTTCGTGCTGTTTCGAGCAGGTTGAGATCCGACTCTGCTGGAGACTGTCCCCTGTAAAACCAAAAATTTGAGGTGGAAAAGGCGCGTAAGGTTGCGCGAGTTCTTAATAACACTCGAATGTAAGCACCACATTTTTTGGTCCTAAGTCACACATACAATAATCCCTGATTATGACAAAATAGCTTTATTAATGCAAAAGTCTTTTATGTCTCATCGTTCAGGCGATTTTCAAATTCCTTAAGTGAAAGCGTATCGACGACACGAAAAGTATGAAAACATGTCGGCGACACGAAAGGTACCAAAACCCACGGTTCGCCACCAGACCACGAGACGGCGATACTTGTGTCAGAATCGGCGGAGGCACGCGCGCGGCGCAAACCCAGCGGGAGAGGAGGACACCCACGCTTGGGCAGTGGTGAAGAGCAAGCGTGCGAGACGACGTGAGATTGACGGCGCCAAAACTGCGTAATCAGAGAGCACGCTGTCTTCGGAGGTTCGCCATCACCGGGATCGGTACTTGGGCATTCGCCTTCAAGTCGTCTTAGGGATAAAGTAAGAGACCCTGTGAATTTTTCTAACTTGAACGCGGTTCCTACCAAAATGCGTGCATTTAGAACTGGATTATGATAAGTGTATACGAAGTGTATTGCGAAGGTTGAGGTACGGAAACCGCGCGAGCCCACACGGAAGCACGCAAGAGATCTTTGCGTTCCCTCCGATTCCTTCACTGAGGCAAACGGTAGACTGTGCCAGACGCAAACAGAAAACGGCCAAAGGATGATGGAAAGCGGAGAGCCGATTCGAATGCCGATGCACCGACGAGACCACGTTTCTACGCTGTGCACAAAGCCCGCGGCCCAATTTCAGTTGAAACCGGGTCGAGGAAGCGAAGGAGTTCTGAGGAGATCGTCCCTTTGGGAGTACCCAATGCACGTGTGAAATACACGTGCCACGTGCGTCGCGTGGGAGTGTTTACCAAAAGTCGACTCGATCTGCGAGGTTCAAAAAATGTGGTCGGCCCATGTCTGAAGTTGCCGAGAAATTTGACATTCAGGCATTGACTGTTCGATCCTATCAACCATCTAACGGAACGAGCAAGATGCAACGGTAGGGTTACAGAAGAGTTTCTCGTGCAAGAAAAGCGCACCCGTGATTTAAATATCAAAGAGTGCCAACAGCTTTGCAAACGTCAGATTTTATCTCACGCGCGTGCTTGTTGGGTCGGTGCACAATTCCCAGAGCTGCAACGATCTCTACGGGAGTGTGTGCGAACCCAGTCATGGTATAAACACATTGGCGATGCCGCCGAGGATAACTTGGATTAGTTTGCATTTGTCGAAGGGGACATTGTCGTCGTTGCTCCTGCCATGAATGCTGCGGTTGTAGACCTTTTGTGCGGCCAAGGTAAATACGAAGAGACGTTGGAGTGGCACCTCGAGAAATACCGACGACTCAGGGACACAAAACATCCTACGGCTGCTTCCGAACAAAGTGGAATGCAGTGGCGGTGACAGTGCTCTTGCAATGTTCCAAGCAACTAAAAAAAAAACCGACGCCCTGAAAAAACTTTTTAGAAAAAGGGGCGCACGACACAACTATGTGGATGCTAACCCGTTTCATAACGCAGGTGTTGCTGCTCTTCACGGTTTAATCGACTGCCTCGCGCGAGAGTGTGGCCTGTCCCTCATCATGACTACCGAAGCACACACTCAACCTGGATTCGTCCATGCAAAGGAAGCCTCCTGTTGACTCATCGACGATGTGGTTCTACATCGTAAACAACCGTGGCTGGGTGGTGCTGTGGGGAATGCTTCCGTTTCCGCCGACAAACTGCCTACAAAAGGACCATCTTCCATTCAAGCTTCGATTTGTTGTCACGAAGGGATCTAACCCACTTTAGATTAATCCTAAAAATGAGTTTTGCATGCGCCAACATTCACATTCAGCATCAAGGTGTGGCTGGGTGGCGCTTTTGTTTTTGGAATTGTCAGAGCATGCTTGCATCAATTACAAATAGCATTTCAAAATCATAATTTTCCTACAAATCAATGTAGAGCTAAGCGTTTTTAGTGCCAGTGTGACAAAACATGGTTATGAGCGTTTGAACTAACAAGAACAAAAAAAAATGCAAAAATAATTCTGACTTTTCTGCTGTGCCACGCTTTACCTAATAAAATGACTAAACTACCTACGAGAATGCTTTTTCACGCGTAATTTAAAAAGGCTCAACTACAAATTGAGCCACAAGAAAATTTGTTTTTACTTATAACCTTCTATTGATGGAAGTTTTCACCAACATTTTCAGAAATGCACCAACTAGCCATACCTTTGTGGTAAGTTACGGTGTCGGACCTTTCAAAACTGATTTTTGAGATCTATTCTAAATTGGTTAGATCTATTTGACCATCGCTTTAAGCCTAGTTAACTTTGTAGCTTTCCTACAATTTTCATCATTGGTCTACCATAACCACATGTGCAATCAAATACAAGACAAGAATTGCAATGAACAGCAAGGAGGACTGCAACCGCATGTCCATAAGGACACCAAAAGAAGAATGTGGTCAGTACTTTCAGCACACCAGTTAAATACGAGGACCGTGTTCATAACCTGCTGTATGATGATCAGATGATGGCCATGCATGCACACTTCCTCGATTCTCCTTCAAAACAGGCAACTTAGAGGCCTGAAACTTTTAAATCTCGCCAGCACTGCCGGAATTGCCTACTGGGGGAGTTTCGGTGTTCTGCAAAGTGTCTACGTGTTTCGATGAATCACTTGACGCTCTTTGGAACCAAGCAGTAGAACAGTTTGTTTAAAAAAGTGAGCAACCATCCGCATAGGTGGCAAACCGGTAGCACCACGAGCACCCCAGCAGGGGTGTCAACTTCATTTCGTACACTAGACTATCTATAGAAAAAACTAAAGGACAACACGGCTACCCTGTTTCCTCAAAACATTGACCAATTAAATGCAGTAAGCTCAGAATAATTGAAACTCAGATATTTCATACTTCTGGTTAATTCAAACAAATTGCAAAATCTTGGTTGTCCCGCTATGTATTTATAAGCCACTTAATTCGGACGGAGTTTATGTGTAAGTCACACTTTTTTTACCTCACGGCCCCATTCTCACCGAGCACCTGTAAGAGTCTGCAGAAGTGCTTCTCACCAGTGCAGCTGCGCTCTGTAAGAAGCATGTTCAACGGGGCTAATAGTCCACAATAGATAACTTTTTTCCTCAAAGAACAAACTTAATTTTGTGTTGACGTGTAATGTACTGTCTAGGAGCTCCACAATATAAAACAATTTGGAGGGATGAATAAAGTCAAACTCATGATGAGTTTGACAAGCGTGTTAGGTTAATACTCGTAGGATATGCCAGCTGAAGGAATGAAGAAATAAGAAAGACAGAGAGAGTCGCAAGGAACAAGCACACGCACTCCGCTGGTATGTTTTTTACCAGCGGAGTGCGTGCGCTTGTTCCTTGCGACTCTCTTTGTCTTGCTTATTTCTTCGTTCGTTCAGCTGGCATATCCTACAAGTATGAATAACCAACCTGCTCAGCTTCAGGCAATCGCAAGGTTAATACTCAATATGAAGAAAGCAAAACACAAACAGGGGACAGAAACAGATATGCACATGTCTGTCTCTGTCTCCAGTTTGTGTTTTGCTTTCTTTGTATTGCTTATCTCATACATTTCACTAATGTTCCATGCATTGTATAGCTGCTTACGATTAGTAGGCCTGTATAGACGATATCATCAAATATCTACTCTGTATGCGTAGCCATCCATATAACAAATCATAATTTTATCTTGCATCATATTTAGATGAATTTCAGAAAATTCAAACTTCTAGTAATTCAAGCAAAATTATTGACTCCCTGAAGTTTGAACTAAGGGGGCACGAGGATCTTTAACTCCTTTTTTTTTTTTTTTTTTTTTGTGTATCGTGTTGACATATAGTATACTGATGTATTTCTCAGTGGCGATTTCAAATATGCAATTAGTTTTCAGATAGTAGTTGACTAGATCCTGCGCTATAAATAAATTTGTAATTTTGATTAGGTCCTCCTTATCGTAACTGTAAAATTCTTCAGAATATGTCAGAAATTTTTATAGAACTGCATTCACCAAGACATGCTTTGTACAGTGATACTATTTTTGTTGCATTATATGTCACACAATAATTGTAATTAATTAGTCTCAAAGAAATATAGCCTCTCGTTTTGTACAACTTGGTTGCAAATGTTTTTTTACCAATGTAATATCATTAAATTAGGCTTAAATTAGCATCGCTGCACAAAACATGTCTTGATGAATGCAATTCAATAAATATTTCTGATATATTCTGAAGAATTTCATGCTAATGATTTGTAAGAAGAACGTAATTAAAATTACAAATTCATTGATAACTCAGGATCTAGTAAAGCTATCTGAAAACTAATTGCATATTTGAAATCACCACTGAGAAATGCATCAGTATACTAAATTTCAACACAATAAATGAAAATTAAGAAAAAAGGTTAAAGACTTTTGTTCCCCTTAATGAGGGTAATGTTAAGATTGGACCATCCAATCATGTTAGAAGTACACACTAGGTAATATATCCTTCAGAACCCAATAGCCAGTCGTATGATAATGAGAATTGTTGCCCCTCCTGCTATTCTTCTTTATCCCTAGTACAGTGTAATCCCATTAATTCAAACCTCTTAATTCGAACTGGTGGATAATTCAAAGTAACATGCAGGTCCCATCCTATGCGTCTCTATGGGAGAAAACTCCAGGTAATTCAAACTTGCTTTAGTTAAACAAATTTTCGGTCCCCCTAGAGTTCGAATTAACGAGATTCGACTGTAATAGAGTCATGAGAAAAGAAATGTGTACTAGCTATTTTCAGGGTTGCACTTGGAAGCAGCTTGACAGCCTTTCGACGACAAATGCTGAGCAAGTTATAAAGTTGAAGTGCTCCAGATTTTTAAAGGGACACTTACACACCCTAAAATATTTAATTTTTTAACTAGGCAATTTAATATGGAGTCAAGAGACTACCCAATAAATATTTTGGTGCAGTCACATAGATTTTTAATAAAGCCAAAAAAATCAACTGCTTGAAACCGAAACATGAAAATGCAAGCTCATGGCCGAAAGTCACGTGGCTACACCAGACTGCGTTTTTTTTTTATCTCTGCTTCTCCAGCGTATAAAGCAGACAATGACGACGACGAATTTGTCTGCACCGTTCGTCGTGCGATCCTTTCGCACTTATATCCATTCTGCTCGATGCTCTGTGCTTGAAGATCTAGTGGCCGGAACCACGAATGACAGTTCCGAAGTAGCGGCCACACGTCCGCCGCAACGCTGGTTCGTCGTGCACTGCTATTGCATCGTCTAGCCCATGCTACATCGCCATAATGAGAATGAGGAGTACAGATACTTCCTGTAATCTGTGCAACATTTTTTTTTTTTTTTTTTTCAATCAACGTATTTGCAGTTTTTTGGGGGCCACAAAAATGGGGTTCATATTCTTTTTATTGCGAAAGCATTAACTATCCCATGGAGTGGAGCCGATGGCGTCTGTAACCGCAAAAGAACGCGAAAGAAATGCCCATTCACCCATTGGCTGAGTGAAACGGCTCCTAGATAGCCATCGGCGGCCGCTTCACGAGAGCGCGCGTTCGGCAACCTCGACAGTAGCGAAACGTGGCCGTCCAGGGGCCCTATGTTCCACGTTTTGGACTCCCACGGCGACTATGAAGAAGGAAGTGACAACAACAACGCAGCAAATACAGATTGGATGTTGACTGATCTCTCATCAATCAACATCCAATCTGCATTTGCTGGGTTGTTGACATCCCTTTTTTCTCCATAGTCACCGTGGGAGTCCAAAACGTGCAACATAGGGCCCCTGGCCAGTACACCACAGACTAACTAAGGGAGCGGAAGAACGGCATTCATGCTTTCGCATTCACAACTCATAAGAAGTGCTTAGACGTCCTCGTAATTTTTTTAAATTTTAATACTGAAGGTGTGCTTTAAGGCCCAAGACTTGGAATATATTTGATTCGCATAGTTTGAACGCCCCATGACCATAAAAAAAAAAGTGAGCGCGAATGAAACCGGCAAATTTTCGACCGGATGTTTTCGGGTGGAAAGAAAAGGAATTTTGAGCCACTAATTGCATTTTGGGTAGGTGGGCTCCTATAGGTCATGTTCAAATAAAAACCTCCGAAAGCATAATACCCCGTCAGTGTCCCTTTAACCTTTCTACGAAGTAATATTAACAGAAACAATCATTTTGAAAGGCCCTGCACGAGCCAGAATAAACGGTGCAGCAGGCTAACACTTTGACACATCTGGCCTCTAAGGTGCGCCATCCCTCGATGTACAGCAGAGCGCTTCAAACCCCAGAAATAAGGGCAAAAAACTTTGCACACTGATGCTTACACATGCTTTTTATGGTTATCCATGATCTTGATCTCAAGTTCTTTGTTCTGGTGGGGCACAAACTTGTACGTCGACAGGTAGCTGTGGTCCGGGTAGTCCTCCGGTACGTAGTCCCCGCAGGACGCTACACACAGGACCAAAGATGTTGCGGATTAGAAACCACAATGAAATGTCCCCAGCACTTCAACTGTGTCCACTTGAAGTGAAAACATTGCATGATATTGAAAGAAAAGCTAGTAAAGAAAAACTTTGAGTGCATTTACGCTACCGCGCAACATGCATCGCAGCGACAGCAGCTTGGCGCTTGCGTGATTCGCTATCATTGTGGCGTCCACATCGTTCTCCGAATTTTTACGCCATTTTTCCTCCTTCTCTTGACTCTGCTCCCTTGTTCGATCGATCTAAGACGAGCCTCCTCGGCGCTTGCCGGCCTGCCAGATGACTGGTGATGTCGGAATATCCTGTGCACTGACAAGAAGCCTGCCTCGGACGAAGACCACCCGTCACGTTTTGCCACGTTGTCACACCGTGGGACGCCCAGTTAGCTGATTTCGCTACGACCCCCCTTGACAAAGCACATACGGTGGAGGAAGCTCAGAAAGCTGGTCATTGTTGCGCAAATTTCATCTTAAAAGCAGGCGGCCATAGCACAGTTCAATACAGAATAAAGATGGGTCACGGAGGGAACGTTTTCCATTGTTTCTTTTGTCCATTCAACATTTAGACTTTTGGACAATTCTGACATTTTTACCCGTCCCGCCAAATCGGAATGAATGAGGTTTTACTGTAGGACTCAAAATAGCAGTACGCTCCTCGCTCAATGTGGAGATGGCTCTTGTGGTCAAAATTTTCCCCTTTTCATCTAGAAACCCGGAGACGTTAATATATGACACAAACTTCCAAGCTGGCAAAAGAGTTTAAGAAATTTTGTTTTGTAGCAGTGGAAACTTAATGCATAGTATTCACATCTGTAAATTGCTAGATTACCACGCTTTTCAAATTCCCAAAGAGCAAGGGGCTGTCTCAAAGGCCACCTTCGATCTTGTTAAAATGAAGTCACAGACTACGAGGACTTCTCCTTGACCGTAATTTCAGGAACAACTTCGAAGTTTAACAATATGCACTACCCTGACAACAGATTGCCACATAATGACGACTTGCATTAAGCAATGGTTTCATAGTGATAAGAAGTTTTGTGCGTACTGAAGCACACTAAGACGCTATAACTATATGCTCAAAGCTTAGAAGGCTTTTCAGAGACTTAAGGTCTCTCGCAGCACTAGGAGATACGAGTCTCCAAATAGAGACATGCTTGCAAAGCAGTAATTGCACTCAACTTAAAATTATATGCTTTTTCTCCAATCACCGACATGATTTCTCACAAATAAACTTGCACAACAAAAAGAATACACACCTTTGGAAACAAGCAAAAAAAAACAACCGCATCTCCACGTGGTGAATGATGTTGATTGGGGCGAAGCTCTGGTGGTGCTTGTCTGCGTAGACGCTGAGCCGCAGCATGCCGAGCCTTTTGTTCGTTTTCATCCATGTCACGCTGCGGTCAAATGCTCAAATGCGTATATAACCATGTTCCATACCACACATTCTCTTTCTGACATGGATGAAAATGAACGAAAGGCTCGGCATGCTGCGGCTCACCGTCTACGCAGACAAGCACCACCAGAGCTTTGCCCCAATCAACATCATTCACCACGTGGAGATGCGTTTTTTTTTTTTTTTTTTTGCCCAACATGAGCATGGGAGCACGTGCTCACATGCTTGTGAGCACGTGAACGCGTGAGCTCATGAGCAGGAGCACGTGCACCCGAAGGCGGACAGACATACGGACATGGCTAGCCCCAAAGGAGCTTCGCCCCTAAAAAAACTGGGTGCATGCGAGTGAGAAGTTTCTGGTGTTTTAAGTAGGTAACAAAAATGGGAGAAACATGGGAAGATGAACTGTTCGGTACCAGTTCCCGTCCAAAGCAGAAGACACGAGAAGAATTCAGCGTCGTGTGCACCGAAGACAACCCGATTCATTCACCTCCACATTAATGTAAAAGCTCTCAATATGCTCTGACCAACCACAATTCGGACAGGCATTGCGCCAGCAGGCCTCCATATATCCTGCGACAGTACATGGCAAGGGCCCTAGTTCGGTGGCAACACACAGCTTCTCATAGTGTCTAGTGGCAAAAAAGAGGCATCTCGTTGCGGGGCAGACCACCTTTGGGCACTAGAGCTACCCCTACAACCAACGTCTCTCCCCTTAAACCAATTGCAAGATGCCTCGCGAACACATTCGACCGGCTACTCGTCATTTGGGCTAACCCAATTGTGTTTGCCTTGCAGCAATTTGCAAAAAGGACTAAACACTGCCTTTTTTGCATAGAAACACAACCTCGCTGGAACTCAGAGTTATGTACAAATGTGCTACATGCACAAATCGAAGGACTTTGCCAGCCCCTCAACTGGTATTGCAACTGGGATGCCAAAAATTGTGCGAACGATACCCTACATGTTGGGTGAGCAAGACGTGCATGTATCTCAAGGTAAGCCTAATTCCGGTTCCAAACGACTGTGCCGACAGAGGGTGGCTGCCCAGATCGTGCTTAGCCAGAGTGACTTCTCCAGAAGAGTGGGCTACCCTGCACGATGTAGGAGGCCAGGAGAGCTGCCGTCGGGTCGCTGCACTGCAGGATTCCCAAGGAAAGGTCTCGCTTGATCTGCAGGCTGAACAGGTACCTGGGGGGAAGGGCACACCACCAAATAAGCTCCTCTCATCGCACTTAACTAGAGCCTCACAATGTTTTTGTTTCTGCAACTGCTCACCATTTCGTCTCCCATTAAGTAAAACGAGCACTTTACGAGTCAGCCAGAGAACCTTGTACTTACTAAATTATTAAAAAGAAACTCGTTCAATTTTTACTGCATTCAATTATTCCAAAACTTACTTACCGTTAAATACCGAACATTCACCCTTTACACAATAAGTGTGCCTGTATCTCAATTTTGTAACATTTGGAAAATACGTAGAAAACATATACCGTATTTACTCGCATAATGAATGCACTCGCATAATGATTGCACCCTCCACAACGTGTACCAATATGTGGACATTTGTTTTCTCCCTCGCGTAACGAACGCACCTCGAACTTTCGGCTCTGTGAGTCTCGAATCGCGCCCAATTTAGCTAGCCACAAAGCCAATTTTCTTTTGCCACCAAGCAGTCAAGCCAAGCCAAGCCAAGCCGCTCTCGTAAGGGCTGCAAGTAAGTAGTTGCGGAAGTGATCAACCGTGAAACCGAGCGGCGCGCACACTTGACGAAGTTTGGGTCGAAGAATTGCCCTGCCCCATCATTCTTCGCCTATCGGATGCATTGGTGTCAACAAACATGCCGTTGTCTGTGGTCCACCTTCGGGCACTGAAATCGTGAAAGTGGTGAGGCCTAAGAACGGTCGCGTTGCTCTCCGTGCTGAGTGCGCTTCGAAGTGCGCTTTTCTTATGGCAAAAGGCACGCCAAAAACACCCTAAAAAACTTAGGAATTTATAAAACATGGTTACTGTGGTGTGCCCCCAAACAGCCGTGGGTGCGCCTCCATCAGTGGAGACGTGCCACAGTACCTTGCCCAGTATTGGCACCTAATACGTAATTTGCACGAAGTGTATAAATGCAAAAATTTTACCCCGCATTATGAACGCACCGTCCCCAAATATGTGTAAATTTTATGGGAAAAAAAGTGTGTACATTATGTGAGTCAATACCGTATTTACATATTATTGATATATATATATTGATAGAGGACATAAATGTACCTCCCACAGTGTTACGTGATTATCTCCCTATTTTATGGTAGGTTAATTCACACATTCTAAACCTAGGGTATGAAATGGTTTCAGGATAAAAGTAATCTTGTTATGGAGTAATCCAAACAGAGTTGGATTATGTAGCGCATCGGGGTCCTTTACTCCCGACCATGACCCATTTATATAAAATTATCTCAAATAAACGAGTACGCTCGAGTGGCAAAAATGAGCTTGTCGTCGGCGTCTGGGAACCTCGGAAAGCGCCTCCCGTTGAGACTCCCCGCGCTACAACGAACCCGGGGGGCCCCCCGCCGGAGCTCCGTGCGGCCTCACCTTGTGAACTCCTCCTCGAGTTGCGCGGGGTCGGGCGTGTAGAACTTGACGCAGAAGTCCATGACGGGGGCGACCATGGACAGCCCCATCTGGCGGCACATGGGCTTCTCATAGTCCAGCCAGTACTGCGAGAGGAGGGCACGCCAGGCTCTTGTTTCTTCCCTCGTCACTCGCGCGAGAGAGGTATACTCCACACAGTGCATTCAGTCAATTGACGCCAAATGTGTCGCATGTTTGCGGCGACCCACAACACGTGACACTGAGATGCCGTTTGTGCCGTGACATTGCAGTGTCATGCCGTGGTGTCACGGGACATTATGCCACATGAGTCTCACATGTCATCGTGAGCAACGCCACTTGACGTTAGGGCATCACGTGACCTAGATTTGGTGAAAAAAAACTTGCTCGACATAAAGATATGCATGAACTATTTCGGTTCAAGTTTTTCCCGCTAAATTTATCGGGAAAATGGCCCGCTAAATTTAGGTCATATGATTTTTCCGATAATGGAGAAAGAGTGTGTTGGTGCAGGTCAAGATTGAAGAAAGAATAAACATGTAGGACAAAGACGACACGGCCACATCTTTCAACTAGCAACGGACATATAAAAATTCCAAAGGTGAGTAATCGATTAAGGGCGGGAAAATCACGGAAAGGGAAAGTAACTAAGAAGAGAGGAAGGAGGAGAGAGACCATGGAGATATAAAGTCAGGTCGATGGAGTCATCTCTGATATAAAAAATTAAACTTCAGTCTCGGTCAGAAACAGTGCAGGATTAAAAACGGGGCCTTCAGTCTGTGCAGGTCCCATTTTGAAGAGACAAAAAGGGGGGCTATGCAAGACGGCAAGACAAAAGAACCGGCACATAGCCGGCGCCAGCTGCGATTGGTCAACACCACGCCACGGACCAATTGCAGCCGGTGACAATGTTCTGGTCCCTTTGTCCTGCTGGCTTGCATAGCCCACAAGGGGGCAAACAGCAGATAGGGCCAGGAGATTGGGTCATTGGCCATGAATGGCACAAACAACAACATTTCTAATCCTTCACTGTTTTTGACGAAGACTGAAGCTGAATTTCTCAAATCAGGAATGACTCTGTCCACCTGACTTTCTATCTTATCATCTTTTTCTTCCTTCCTCTCTTCTTAGTTACTTTCTCTTTCCTCAATTTCCCCGCCTTTAATCGGTTGCTCGCCTTTCAAATTCCTATACGTCCATTGCTAGTTGAAAGATGTGCTTGTGTCGTTTTCGTCCTAAATGTTTATTCTTTCTTCAACCTTGATTTTTAAATGTCATCGTGTTTTTATAACAACTTCTTGTCACGCTGTCTAGACAAGAAAACCAGCCCATAAAGGCATTCCGTTTCAGAACTATTAGTGAGGTTCAATGTTTGCGTGTTCTACGGACGTAGTAGGTTGTAATGCATCGTGCTAAGTACTAACCTGCACAAGCAAAATGTGAGCGAAAACCCAACCCCCACATTTGGGCTAACCGTATCCTGAGCCATGCAAGAAACCGGTTAACATTGGTGGTCTATCCAGTAAATTTAGCTTTAGGGAAATTTTTATAACAGAAAAAAACCTTGTTTTAGGGCACTTCTGTAAGACAATATTTCCCATTTTGCAGCAGCTCTGGAGCAGCATTAAGATAATTTTGTAGCAGTTAGGAGAAGGTATTAGTACTAGCAATATGCAGATGCCTAATCAATACTACATGATACACATTAATATGCCACATTAGAAAACATACTGCACTGTCTAAATAGCACCTCTACAGCTAGAATAAAAAGGTCACAATAAATTTCAGACAGCTATTATCACGTAGGCTTTCAATATGTGGAGTCAAATTGTTTTTTTGGTTGTTACCATTCGTGCTAATGGCCTAAAGTTGGCAGGCTTCATGTAAGCCTGATATTATGAATGAGAAATCAGCCGCCTGTAGTACCATTTTAGGGCTCAATTTGCACTATTCACTGATTTTATGCGAGACACAAAAATTTGTATTTTATTAAGATAAGATAACATGCTTTGCGCCAACCATTTTATTTATGCAGGTGGCAACTCCTTACACCTCTTGGCAAGAAAAATATTGTGTCAAGTTAATCAATCTTGAAAAGCATGTGAGCAAGATTAAAAACAAGAGAAAAGAAAATGCACAGAAAGTCAGCAATTTTGGCAGTCATGGCATTTTCAGGCGCACAAGAAAGAAAAAGGTTACCTGCCAGTACAAGCAGGCCCCTCGACTACAATAGATTTACTCCAGGCACCCGAGAATCCAAAAGTACTATGTATTGGTTTAGTAAATATACATTTTCAAGCTTCATCAACAAAATAATTCTAGGTTCCCGACATTTCAATGACAAGTAACACAATCAAATGTTCACAGCATTAAGCAAAATAACGGAAACGCAATGAGACGTAACAAAGCAATCCAGCACCAAAAGCGTAAAGGAAATGAGAACCATTTGCTGTCCCCACATTTCTTTCAAACAGAACCTTATTATGCACATGCAAAAAGAATGGTTTGACTGGTGTTTGTTCCTGTTTAGTGACGCCATGAAACACTTAGAGGGCACAACGAAAGGTGTGTGAACTGCTGTTAGGGCAGAACTTACAGACGACAACCCAGATTGCTGTTGGGTTACCGCTTTGCCCACTAAAAGCAGATATTGACTGGTTTGCCAATCCAGAGTGCCAATTCCTCTATAAAATTATCTGTTTATACAAACTAATGAGCTTTCTTTGGGAGAGTGTAGCACAATTTCGGCCAACTTGTCCTTTTGAGTGCAGCGAGGTCAAGTCAAATACAAATTTATTAAAATGTTGCACATGATTAAAAATTGTCCAATTTTGTTGCACATGTCCAATTTTGTTGCACATGAAATGTGCAACAAAAGTGAACCACTGTACATACTTGCAAAAGGAATACCTGTATTTTGTGATTGAGACACCCATTCAAAATGCGACTTTCTTGCAGGTTATGCGTAAGACTTTTATAATGTTAAAATTTTTTAAAACTTCAATTTAGGAAAATTTTAAAAATATTTTGGTAATGAGATGAGGTGGCATAGCAATTCTAATCCTTACTCAAGCTTTAGAACAGAGTGACCCAACAAAACCAGAATGTAGCTGAAGAAAACACAATTAAGTACAGCCTCTCCTGCACATACATAACCTTAACATTACTAATGCCAAAAACTTGTGAAGAGCCATAAATCAAATAGAGCTGCAGATAAAACCATGTTTCACTTTGTTAATGTGCATAATCTTTTATTATTTCTGCCTGAAATGCCTTTTTGGAATATAGATGCATGGGCACTACTGGGATCTCCAAGAAAGCTCTAATCTCAGAAAAATTTGTAATAGAGGCACTAGAACAAGCAAGTACCGTGACTGTAAATGAAAGAGTGTGCCAGGTGCTCTGTACAATCAATGCCATCTAACATAATCCCAAGAAAGTTCTCTACGACACTAATCGTGCAACTACTGCTTCCCCCATCCGTCAATCACTGCATGCGCTTTGTGGGACATTGGTCAGATGGCAACGAGTAGAAACAATGGCTAGGTTGCACAAATTACGCCCAAATCAAGAGGGTTTGGCCATATTCAAGGTTACTAGATCAACTCGGCTATGAACCTACCCATAGACACCGCTTGCACAAGCAGTACTCCTCCTCTCCCCCCAAGGCCCGCCTTTCGTCGTTTGATGCGCCACCGTTTCCTGGCAGGACGGCTGCTACGGTAACTACTACGGTTACGCAGATTTTGATGCACAGCATCTAGATGGCGCTTCACCATAGCGTCACCAAAGAATAGTTTTGAAACCCAGCCTCTAGATGGCGCAACAAATGACAGGCGACGGGTTCGAGGGGAGACGGGGGTGCCCTCCTCCGCCCGAGTTGCTCAACTGAGTCAACCTAAAAACGCCGGCCATATTCATCTATCCAGCGGTTCCACCGGCCATTCACCTCCACAGTGGCCTCAACTTGAGCATACCTGTCATGTTACCGATAGGCTAGTTTTCTTCCATTCATTTTTACGAGCAAGCATTTAGAAAGTGTGAGACAATGACGAGAAAAAGTGACCTTTGTGCCGGTGGAATCTGCATACTCCAGTCCAAAGTAGTCCACTTCCAGGAGGTTGATCACTCTGCAGACCTGCTCGAAGAGCACCCTCCCGACAGCCTTGTACTGTGAAAGAAGGAGGAGCGGTCTTTTACTACCAAGACGGGTCCCGGCAACACTTGGCCACTGGAAGCACCCTCAGGAATCGCCACAGTCTACTTTTGCTTTCGCTGCACGATGGCTCGTGCAGCCAAGGTAAATGCAAGAAGTTCTGTTATGAGGTATACTCTGCTGCCAAGTTACACAGAACTAACAGATTAACTATAAGACGATATGGTAGACAGAAAGGAACACAACGTACATGTGGAAGGGTAGACATACAACTCTTTATCTTCCGTTCCTTCATCTTCCTCCTCTATATTTTTTAAAGATGAAGATATGCCTGATAATTCTTAGAATTAAAACTGGATAATCAATGCCATTGCAGGAAATTGTATACACCGGTGATTTTCAGATAACAAAGAAATTCCAGTGTTTTGGAAGACAAACATGCACCTGAAAAGTAGTGGAAATAACCGGGATGATGAATGTCTTTCCTGGCATTTGTAGACATTTGATCTCTATGGTGTGTGTGTCTATGCTGCGGGTGCCCTGGAGTCAATGTTTGCCCTGTTGGGCTGTGGGACCCTTTAAGTAATTCTATTCTTTTTTGGTTCAAAGCTATTAAGGGTTCAATTACGCTCGTTCCGAGCCTTCCTGAAGCCATGTGAAAAGCCTTCATGATTTTGCGCTTGGTCCTGTCTCGTGATCTATCTCATAATGAATTCGGGTGGTCGCCTCTCTCCCCTAATATTGATTCAGCAGAGTGCCCCATCCTTGCCGCCAGAGCTACTCAGGATCCTTTTCAGGCGATCACAACTGCCGGGTGCAGAGCGCTCCGACATTCTCACACCAGTCACGGAAGTAAAACATTGGTAGCGCATTAAAAAAAAAAAAGATTTTACAGCGTACAGTGGACGATTGAGAAAAATTTACGCTCACAACGGGATGAAATGACGGTTGTGACATAAATTGTTTTACGCATCAACTAGAAAAACAAAACAAAAAAACACAGTATGAGAATTGATTTTTGCAGAACGGAACGAAAGCCAATGCTTGGAAAGAGTTGTCAACTCATTGTGTCTTCGACAGTGAACGCGCTGCGATAGCAGTCATGTGTACGGCAGAGCAGGCAAATATAAAATGGTTAATAAACCACATTTTTCTCACGGCAAAATGTTGTGCAAGCAGGATATAGCACATATTGCCATGGTGCGGTGCGGTCGGAACAGCGTTGAGTGGGGGGGCATGCCCCCACTGCCCCCATTACCCCCCCCCCCGTTCCCCCCCTCACCCAGTTCCGGAGCCCCTGGTCCAATACGAACCTATTTATGCTCTTTACAGATCATGTTTGAAGGAAAAGTACACTCGCAGAAAGAAGGCATCTGCATAGGTTCATCCATAGTTGCATAGCACCAGCCTTATGTTACATTTACCTTGCAAGAGGCAATAGAAAATTCCAGCAGTTTTTTTTTTCGGGAATAGGGAATTGTAAGGCATTTCAGATACGTGCGTGATTTTTTTATATGTTTTCTGTTAAACGAAATGACAAACATGGTGTGCACAAAGGTCATAAAGAACATGACATTTGGGGATAGACACACATGCTGGATCTACAAGACGAGAGTGGAGAAAGGAATAGTGCCGTACGATACCAGGCACTCCAAGTTAGAAAAGAAGAGCATCGCCTCAGGATGTGTCTGGCAAGCCATAAGAAAGTCCTGTTCCCGCAGAGTGTCAGAAGGCCTATGAACCGATAAACCGACTAAAAACAAGGAACTATTCAGAGTCCCTAATATTGGCGATAGCAGAAAAATGAATACATATATCCACAGGAAAAGGCAAAACAAGGAGAAGAATGCACCTAGACAAGACACCAGTTGTACTGCTATACATTCATCATTTTTTGCACCGGATGAAATAGATCACTGAAAAACACCAAGTCAGAGTGGCCTTATCCACTTCTTTTAAGCTAGAAGGATTATGCAAGAGGGTGAACCAAGTGGAAAATAACACAAAAGATCAAGCATAGTGTAGGATGAAACACGGATCCAATTGTTAGTTGAATGTATCGAAGGAGTGGGATACAAAATAGACGTGTGGAAAATAATACAAAGGACAAATGGGGAGATGCCTAAACGAGAGTCTAAGTAAGCACAAATATGCATGTGCATATTTGTGCTGTTTTAGTGTAACATGCTATCGATCACGAGACAGGATCAGGCGTGAAATCATGGAGGCTTTTCACATGGCTTCAGGAAGGCATGAAACAAGCATAATGGAACCCTCAATAGCTTTGAAGCAAAAAGAAATTGAATTACTTGAAGGTCTCGCAGCATAACAGGGCAAACATCGGCTCTTCAGGGTACCCACAGCATACATACACACACCACAGAGATCAAATGTCAACAAATGCCAGCAAAGACATTCATCATCCCGGTTATTTCCACGACCTTTCAAATACATATTCGTCTTCCAAAACTTTGGAGGTTCTCCATTATCTGAAAATCACCGGTGTTTACAATTGCTTGCGATGACACTAATCATCCAGTCTTTAATTCTAAGAATTATCGGCAAATCTTCATTTTTCAAAACTCGAATACAGAGAAGGAAGATGAAGAAATGGACAATAAACAGTTGTTATTCTGCACTTTCACATGTCCATCGTATTCTTTTCTGTCTACCATATCGTCTTATCATCTGTGTTAGTTCTGTGTAACTTGGCAGCACAGTATACCTCATAATGTCACTCCAACTTGCCCCAAATGCAAGCATTATTAGCAAGGAGTTTGTGCTTGCCTACACCACTGTGCAGAGATTCCACGGCTTCTGAAAGAGTGCACATTTTCGAAAACGGTCTACAATAGGAGCAGACTGAATGTCGGCAAACGGAAGCGGCCACCTACTGGGGCTAGGCGTAGTTGTCGTGCTAATGAGATGTTTGAAAAAAGAGAACAGTGTAAAGCCACCCAGGCAGCACACAGTATTGCACCAATATTGACATCAATCGGAAAGACTGCGCCAATTCTATTTTGATCCAGTCAATATCTGTAAAGTATCAGATGGGTCGTGCCCCCCAACACCATCCTGACATACCATATACGTCGCCGTTTTTGGTCGAGTGTCGAGAGTGTCCTCTGTGAATCGGCTATGCCGGCAAGGTATTTCTATTTCTTGACTGTCTCAAAACCCACTTTAAAAGAAAAAAAAAATTAAGCAAAACAGATTTTGCTTATTTTTAGCCCGAGACAGACAGACAAAAATGTGGAGGGGGGTTAGCTGCACTGTCCATGTCCCTTTGACCACGTCTTCTGTTAGGCCTCCCCACCTTCTTTTGTGACTTCGTACGGCTGTAAGCGAATGCGACGGCCGTTTCACGTGTGACCGATCTACGTAGGAAAAAAAATGCTTGGACGAAAATTTGTCACGCGACTCGCTCTGGTGCGCTGATGGGCTCACTGAAGCCGTAGTCTTCGCCGTTTGCCAAGTTATGGTGATCGGCAGGGGGCCATGTAGGTCCGGTTTCCAAAAACTGCTCTTCAGACTTCTGCTGATTTTCGTACGTTGCAGTTGAGGCCGTAGTTTTTTGTCGTAAACAGCCGGAATACGTCTATGCCAACTTTTCGGCAATAGCCGTTTTCTTCATCGGAGTCCATGGAAATATTGTGCCGTGTTTGTTGGATGCACTTCGACAAAGAACTGCTTATTGGCAAAAGTGAGACTTTCACTGAATGTCGGAGACCGTCTTCTTTCTCGACATTGTGTTTGCATTGCTCCGTGCTGACCCAATCAGATTATGCATCTGTCACATATTACACAATATCACTGTTTTATTCGTAAGTGCCAGGCAAGCATGCTTCTGATAGTAGCCCTGCATCCGTCTCAATAGAGGGTTTTAGCATATCAATCTGATACCTTTGATACCCCCCTAGACAATACAATGTATGCGCAAAGGCAGCGGCGGAGTATTGAGTATTGTTATTGGAGTCATCAGAACAGTCTCCTAAAACCCTCTCATCTCCACGGTTCTTCGCGTTTGATGTATAAATTTTGCTTGGCATGAAAACAGTGAAATTCTATTCAATAATTTGCTTTCTGTTCCTCAGAGAAGTATCATTTTTGTAAATGTGTCAAGAACAAGCTGTGTGTAATGATAGTGGTTTATTAAACTTCTAGGGGCGATCGAAAACAATTCTGTTTGTCCATGTATGTGTACGAAGCACACCCTATATCAGGTATAAATGCGCAATCCAATACTGCCGATATTGCCGATACAAAGCGGGTGCATAGGCGAAGACTGTCTGATACAGAGCAGGCTCAGATTTAGCATTTGTCAGATTCCTGGCCGACAGTCCGATCTGGGCAGTACTCGCACGATATCCCGCCGATACTAGGCCGGTGGCGAAACAGTGGTACACCAATACCTGCCCGATGTAAGAATGTGGTGCAAATCCACATATTCACCGATATTGGGGCCGATTTTCGGCCGACACTGGCACAACACTGGCCAAGTATCGCCGTGCTGCTTGGGGTAGGGACAGAAAAGCAAGGTTAGCTCATTCTGCTATGACCAAAGATTGAATGAGGGAAAGAAGTTTGTCTTCATTTAGTCGGCAGAAAATGGCCGTCATAAAAGAGACATAGGAGTGATATCAAATTTCCACATTCTCTGCTGTGAAGCACCGCAGAAATGCACTCTGTTTTTTTCCCAAGAAACCAAACTCCTAATAAAGCAACCCACCATCCCTTCTCCTCCCCCTTCCCTCCCCCCCTATTTCATGAACTTATTAGTTTTTCAGGATACACTTTGACTGGCTTGAAAGCTTAGCAGAAAATTTGAGGGTATTTTTGTACTTTTTGAACACAGCAGTGACTGGAAGGTCTGATCTGACGAGTACCGGAATTTTATAAGAATTGTAAGAGACTTTAAAAATGGCAAATGCGAGGGTTTTCACTAGCAGCAGGCTAGCAACATTGACTTCGGTCATCTGCCTGTGTGAAATGTTTGTAACATTTCAGCCACGTTG